GTTAATTGATACTGCGGCTTATAATCCGGTGCGGTTTTTGGTCGTGAAAATACGGTACTCAAAAATCCCTAACCTGCATCCAATAGTATAATTTAATTTGGACAAAATTAAAGGATATATGTTCCGGTTTACTGTTTGGGTCTGATTCTTGTTTTGCATATACCATAAAAGCCTAAGTTAAAAAATATGAAACAAAAACCATTTTAAATTGAGATGGGATGGAAGTCAGAAATCTTGGCAAAAATCATAAGCAGATTCCAGTGTGCCGGAAATGTAAATCTTACAGGAAGTGTAAATAAAATAAAAAACAGACTGTCTATTGTAATTAGAAAAGGCTAATTTCAAAAGTACAAAATAAAAAGTGGCTGTAGGAAGGATGTGGATTGGAAAATAATTTTAAGAACTAGCAACAATTCATGCTTTATTGTAAACTCTATGCAACACAGTACTATCATTCCTGTGAAAGACTATCATCTGCCAGTGGATTGGATTCTTTGTTCCCCTCCTGCCAGGCACTTCCCAAACCTTCTTTGTAAGTTATCTTTAAGCAAAATCCCTTGCACAGTCAATTTGCATAATGAAGTACAGAGATTTTAATAACCATTTTAACCATTTTTATTCTGCATTATAACACACATATGTGTTTGAAAATAGGCAAGAATTTTATTAACCCCCCCCCCCCAAAAAAAAACCAAGTTATAAACTAACATTGGCAGAAAGATATTTCCTAGCAGCAATGATTCCCCCAGTCTGCATTATACTACACCAAAACAGAATTCAGGGAAACCTTAGGTATCTTATAGGAAATACATGAATTTGTATTTTCAGATTGGATGCAAAAAGGATACATACTGACAAATTAATTCATAACTTATATTCTAATTAATTTAAATAACATAAATTTGATTTAATAATTGTATATGGATTAAGCTAAATCTTAAAAGTATGCAGAATTATAAAAAAATTCTGCAGAGCATATTGCTAAGCTGCTTTTCAATAGGCACTGCTACAGCTCACTTCTCAACTTTTTCCTGGTTGATAACAACAAAACTCTCTGTCTCGTGGGCATTGTGCTAGAGTTCATACATTGGCAAAATTGAGAAAATAGGCAGTCTATCATTCTTCTGCCAATTTCACTCAGTGTCAAATATCCAGGGCACAAAATTCTGACCTGTTGTGATAGCAGATGAAACATTTGACCCTGTACCACAGCTCTGAGCAACCAAAATCAATAAACTGTGAATTATGCTGTTATACTGACAGCAGCCATGAACTTAACTATAAATAGGGATTTTAAAAAATGTTCAAAACTCCATTATCTTTTTATTCAATTACAGCTTGATTTTCCAAAGGGGAACACGAACAGAATACAAGGAAATATATAATGTGAAACACATTTCTTGTTAAAGATTGCATAACTAAGAATTTTAGGTACACTTAGTTTTATTTATAAAAAGGTATATAATACACAATTTTTTTAAAGTATTAATACACTTGAACTTAAAGAGTTTGGAAGTAAATGGTTAACTCCCTTTAACGTCAAGTGACAGTTTATCAATTCATATATACTATTTATGCGTTATCCAAAACTTTCTAGAACTAAGATTTTGGAAAGAGTCTAGCTTCCCTCAAGAGGGCCAATTAAAAAGAAACATTACAGTAACCAATTCTTTTCATCTTGATATATCTTGAAATGGCTGCTCCACAAGACCATGTTGTCACCAAAGGAGATAAGTGACATGGTCACTTTGAGAACTGATAGGATACATCACTTGATTCTACAAGGTGGCCAAACCAAGAAAAATCAGTGACTGGAATGGAAAGAATTTGACCACTGGTACAGCTTACAATAGCAATTGGGACTGGGATTGTGATTGCTAAGCAATGTGGACATAAAGTGTGACATCACGTGACCGCATGGCTTAGTGACAACAATCCTTGCAATTGTTGGCATTACTAGGTAGATCAAATAGGAAACACAACCAGAACAACTAATTCTACATCACTGTAAAGCTAAAATAAATTAACATATTCACAAAATTTTGCAAGTCTGAAAGCACAATTCCCCCACTGTCTTCCTTAATAACACATCTGTCCTCACTGATAGACTGAGTCAAAAGTTGGGTCTGCCTAGCAACAGGGGTGTGGCTTAACATCATCAGAACTCAGTCCTATCAGTGAGTGGATGATGTCAACCAGTCTCAGTCCGGATGCTACCTCCACCACTATGGAGAAGAGCTAATTCTACTTCATTGTAAAGCTAAATTAAATTAACAAATTAACAAAATTTTGCAAGTCTGAAAGCACAATTCCCCCGCTGTCTTCCTTATAGCTGGAGAAACTACAGAGTCTTTTCTAAGCCTCTTGTCCTGGCCACTATCCAGTTGAGGGCTACACTGTCTCATATCTAATCATTCTCTAGGCTGTGTTTCTTGGCCAATTCTCCCATGGTCCATTTTTCTCTCCTTCAAATTCTT